GGGGTGGGGGTTTGCAGGTTATAGGGGAATCAGGGTTTGCCGGGTTTGTGTATGTTGAAGGAGGGGATCGGGGTTGTCAGCTCCTAGACGACAGCCTTTGAATCCTTGCAGACCTGAGTGGTGGTGCCTGAGTTAGTCTGTTTAATGTCCTTCCTCCCTCCCACATGGTTCACTGGTCTGAAAAGACAAATGAAACTGTGTTAGGAGGGGATTTTTTTTTTTGCCCGAGCAGGTTTTGCTAATAATCACTCTGGGTGATTCGTTCTCTTGTGCTCCCTGGGAAAACACCAGGATTCACTCGCTCTTTAATGAGTAATTCTTTAAAAAAAACCAACAGATAAGTGATTCCTGTAAAAGAAAAGACCCGAAAGTGCTGCGACTGAGACTGAAAACACTTAACAAGTCCTTGACCTCAATCTGTTTTGTGCTAACTGATCAGCTGTGGCTCCTGTTCTGTGTTGTTGTAATAGGGAGGACTGAAAAAAAAAGCAGAGCCGGTGCAGGGAGGGATGGATGGCAGGTTTGTATTCGCATGTCATTGTGTTTTTCCCGTCTCGATAACTGCAATCATCTCAAAGCAAACAATCGAGAATGTACTAATAGCAAAAGTACGGGTGAGTTAATGAGTTTTAGAAACCACGAGGGGAGCCAGAAATGAGTGATTAACTGCTCAGGTGAAAGTGTAATTGCTGCCATATTGGCCCCTCATCTCTGTTTGGTGACGTAAATGAAGCTGTTATAACATTGTGGTTGTTTTTTTTTTCTTTTTCCTCTTTGTTCCTTTCCTCTTTTGCTCTGAAGGAGACACGGAGCTGCAAGAAAACAGCTCAGCCTGAAGTTTTGTTGTTTTTTTTTTTCTCTTCCCAGGGCACACCTACTATGAAAATACTCCAGAAATGCTTGACAGTGATTTCCTCCCCGGTTTCCAAAAAACCCCCACGGCGTTCCTACTTTCCTACTTGATGCCCCGCTGTCGGGCTTCCTCCTTCCCTTCCCTTCCCTTCCTCGTCGCGGAGGAGATAGCGAATGAAGGGAAGGGAGGGGAGGCACGCTTGGAGAAAGCCCTTACGTGTCTGTCATGATTGAGCCTTGGATGGTGATAGCCATCATGCAAAGCGTCGAGAACCGGCCGCAGCATATTGCATGTAAATACGAACGCCTACCGGTGCTTTCCTATGGAAGAAAAACTGTCGAGCGGAACTGATAGACGTGTGTGTGTGGGCGGGGAGGGGGAGCTGATGATGGGGGCAGCCTGCAGCAATAAGCCTGATTGGCACATCTTCCGACCTGGCTGCGGGTTAAACGCCAAAACGCCGGTCGAGCGTGGCACAATCCACTTCTTACCGTACCTTGATGGGGCCATCCACCGGGTCCAGTCCCTGCTCCGACAGCTGTTTCAAGGCACTTAGAGCAGCCTGAGAAGAGAGGGAACAACAGATGGTCGAGTGAGTGAAAGGAGGGAGGGAGGGAGAGTGGGAGATTGGGTGGGAAGAGAGTGAGTGTCACCCTTCAGCTGCTTTTCAAATAACACTTACTCTGGGAAACCTGATGCCAGCAGGACACTTTCCCTTCACTCTCTGTTGTCTTTGGCTTCTCTCCTCTGACTGTTTATCTAGTGTTATTGGGTTAACATTTCCACTTTATGTTTTGGCTGCTCTGCATTTTCCTAAGTCAATCCTAGTGACATCTGTATTCGTGGTGACCACAGCTAAACAAACAGCAGCAGGTCTGAAACACCTATAAATCATAAAGGTTTAGCGACGCAACGCGCAGGATCCGGGTGTCTTAAAACCTGCATTACAGTAAAGGGAAGACAAACACGTGTGAATGTCACATTTTTATTGTCAATTATGTAATGACTTAATTATGCTCAGTTTGCGGTCGCGCAGGGAAACTTTTGAGTGCAAAATTACACTTCCCTGCCTCACAAGAGCGCGGAGCTTAGAAGTTACTGTCTGCCGCAATTAGTTTGTAATCACATCCAGCCATGTGTTGCAATCCAACGCTATGTCATTAAAAAACTATATGCTATCTATATTTTCAAGCTTGGATCAAAAATCCCATGATGTCATTTCCTTCCTGCTCATTGCCTGCCTGTCTGTGCCAGCTAGAGGGGCTGCTGGTTATGTGAGAAGGGTCCAGCCTGCTATCATAATATATACAACATGTTTGGGAGTCAGGAGGTGTAGCGTAGACACACACGCTATGGAGGGTGGGCCCGGAGGACATCGACGACAACAACAACAACAACAACAACTAAAAAACTCCTGGCAGACAGAGGTGTTTTTCTGCAGTTTTCTTTAAAACGCCGATCTTAGTGACACAGCTGCTTGTTGGACATCAAACACAAACACAAAAGAGCTGTTTAAGTATTCCAAGATGATTTGTTCTGTCGGATCATAATCAGTTAGCTGCTTCAATCACAACACAGGATCCATCCTCCATTCTAAAGATTGGCTGCAGATGTGTTTGCCATCGTTCCACTTTTGTTTCTCTCAGTGTGGGCAGAGTTGGAGCAGACTGGGACTGTGTCTCCCACCAGAGTCGACACCACTGGGTCTAACTGTGCACAGTGGAACACATTCAACATCTCTTGTGCCCCCCCCCCCTTTTCTTCCATATCAGCCGTCACTGCAGGGAACGTGGTGCGAGTCTTTATGTCTGTGTGCATGACTGACTACTGTTCAAATAATATACTAACTGTATCTGCCTGGGGAAGTCATTTGCTCTCCAACAGTCCATTTCTTATTCGCTATCTGAGCAACAAGAACCTAATCTGTAAGGGTGCAGTCAAGGTGGAGGAAGCCACACATGAGCTGTAACCAGATGTAATTTTTATTTTACATAATGAACCACAAAAACCAAAAAAAGCAGAAGTCAGGTGAGAGAGAAGGACTGACTGGAACCACCTTTTCTGGCGGTTAGGTAAGTTTTAATCCATGATGGTTCACTTCTGCTCCTGCAGGGAGAGGCCTGTGCAGAAACCATGTTTTTAAATGTATTTTTATGGCAAAAACTTTTCAAGAGTTTTGGCACTCGTTTGAGGAGGTTTTTGATATTTAGAAAAACAGTTAACTCGTATGATGGAAGATGGAAACACCTTTTGTTTGTACAGCTCTGCTGTAACAAACGTTTATCTCACATGATTGATCAGATGTTTCCAATTCTCACATTGTCGTTGCCTTCAGATGGCATGAAACACGGCCAATACCAGCTGCCATGAAAGAGGAATTACAACTTTCCCAATTGAGAACAATTCTTGAATACGTCTCTCTATTTTTCTCCTGTGCATGGCCAAAGTTGTTTGTTTCTTCTTCTTCTTTTGTTTGTTAGTGTTTGAAACAGTTAAAAACGAATGGTTTGTTTCTGGCTTCTTCTACTTTGTTTGTTACAGTTGTATGTAATGTAGCCTATACTGCCACCTTCTGACAAAACTACACAGTGCAGTTTATTCACTCCATGGAAGTCAATGGAAACAAGCCTGTTTGTAAATGTTTCAATTTTTTCTTTTGCAACATTTAAAAATTTGCTTGCCAATTATTGGAAACACAGCTTGAGAGGGTTGACATCGTGTTAAATGGTGGTCAGTTCATAATATGCAGCGTGAAACATTTTCTCAAGCAAACTACGTCCACAGTTTTAGCTTGTGGACCCACATTATACAGTTACTTGAGCGCTTGTATAAAAAATAAATGAATCTGTTTGTATGGACAGAAAAATGGCTCGTTTACACGCCTAATATTTCTGTTTTTGAGTTGTTGTGCCATGTCTAACTATCCATCTTAATTTCTGTTGTCGAGTACTTAATATTTTTTTTTCCGTTGGCATAAACTGGAACATGGGTTGAAACATGAGTTTCTGGTGTTGAAAATGTTTATTCCTCCAGTGGTATTTCTTAAGCACGCCGTTTAATCTATCTACACAGAAATATGTATAGTATGCTTATACTAAATAACATCAACATAAGAAACACTGAAAAAACAGGGGAAAAATTCCAACAGCTCCTTCTTATTATTCTACGCACATCTGGTTCGCCAGTGGCCAAAACTAGCCCGGATCCGTTACACTCCATCACTGGTTAATCAGAGTCGAGATAAGGCATAAGTGGTGCTGCTCAGCAGATGAGTGAGATGTGATGACTGGCTGAGTTTGCCTCATTATGAAGCCCACCAACGTCACTCTGAACTTTATTCTTATTAGTTATATCAATACAGACAAACGAACCATTTTTCCTCACAAGAATATCCGACTTGAAGAATTCTTTTTCTGACACTCAGACAGAGACGTCTCCATGTGAATAGCGATTTGTATTTAGGCCATACGCACAAGAGAAAAACATTCATCACGCTTTAATCCTGAGAAAATATGAATCCCACAGCATACCATATCAATATGTCTTTATGGAATGCAAAATGCACAGGAGGATGTTACAAACTATTATCAGTTTGCTCGCATCCAAAATCATTTTCAAAGCCTTTAACTTCAGACTATGAGAAACATTAACCAGGAATCGTAATTTATGACTGACAGGTGCAAGGGTCAAAATCTGGTTTGTATCCATCAAATTGAGAGAAAAAAAAAATCTGTGATGGTTACAGGTACTAAAAAAAAACTACAACAATAATAGCAGGGCTGATTTGAAAAATTGATACTGTTGGGTTATTACTTAAGGCTTTTCTCCAGAGACCCAGAAATCAACCAAAGCCCCTTTTCGTCCGCAACAGACAATTTATGGTGTAATGTGTTTTTTTTCTCTGTGAAGATCTGACAGCCGGCGAGATTTAGGGGTTGAATATACTTGAAGAGATTTAAGGTGACAAGCCCGTAGAACATGACAGATGAAGGAATGTTTTCACAATTACACTGTTAATAACCATATATCATATTAGGGGACTTGTGATGTAACAGATTAATTTTTTCTTTTTTTATATGCATGAAATAATGCTGTCATCTCACAAAGGCCAGGGTTGTCCACATACCGAAGTGGAGAAAGTAATCAAGATAAGGACCCTAAAGCAGGCAGATGAATGTAGATGATCAGAATCACACCCGATAAACAACAGGGACAGATCTCCGGCTTTCTCCTGTGGCCAATAAATTGTAATCACAAGCAACTTCCCCATAAACTTCTTGTTTGTTGTATTTATTCAATCGGTTTGGGACCCTCCTCTCCCTGAGTAAATAGCCAGAGACCATCTGTTGGAATGGGAGGGGGAGCGATGGTGGGGTAGGGGCTGGAGATAAACAGCCATAAATCAGAGGCTTGACAGTGGCAGCGCTGCTGATATACGACAGGCAGGCATAAGGGCCCAGCAGCTCAGCGAAGGACACGGAGCCTAAGACAAATACTGGGCCTATCTGTGGGAATGGCATTCAGTGAAATCATTATTTTTCTAATGTGATAAGTTGGCCATCGTTAGAGGCAGCAGCTACACTGATGCATCAACACTCGAAGAGTATGTTTAGTCTGAGGCCGGGAAACACAAGGTGGAGGTGTTCCATCTCTGTCACGGAACAAAGCGAGAGTAAGAGGAGGGTCCGGAGACAATGAGGATGCTGTGTGAAAAGTCATTAACAAATGTTAGAGGAAAGGAAGAGCTTTTGAAGTTGAAGCCTAATACAGAAAAAAAAACAGTTCATCTGCCGCTAAGAGCTTTGCCAACCTCTAATGGATGGGTGATTCTAAAAAACAACTTGTTTGTTCAGCATCTTGTCTGATCACATCTGAAAGCGAAAGTGTTTGAAGGTAAAAGGTTGGCTATCATAAAAAAGGGCAAGCTTGATAGCGCTGCGATTGTTTGTACACATGAAAAATGATAAAAATAAATGCATAAAGATTATTTTTTGATACCTGCTTGAGAGACAAGTTCAAACCCTGCTTACTTTCTCCCTCCTACACGTCTGGCTGACTGCTGCACGAAGTAAATGTCAGGTCGTCAGTTTCAGAAAGTTACAGCTACCGATGTCGAAAAGGTGTGGGAAGGAGGGGGTTTCTGAAGCTGTTTGATCATCTGACAACCACGTCTGATGGAGTATAGCGACAGTTTAAGGCTGTGTTCAAAACAACGCCAAAAAATAGCGTCATTCACCTTAATGTGACCACTGCTTTAGAAAAGCCTGGGGGCTGTTGTAGAGACTTCCACAAGCAAAATGCAGGCTTGTTTGGCCAAGCAGTTTGGAGCATCACAGTGTATTGACATCTGGCAACTAGATGTGCAAAAATTCAAGGTAATACACCAAAAGAATACAACAATGATGCTGTTTATGCCTCACAGTGATCATCAATAAAAATATGCTTGATTACTCTTAAACCACTGCACTGTGGTTTCGAATTTGACTGGATTTGTCATTGAAACTCAACTTACTGAACTGTATTTCACCCTCTTATTGCTACTTGTGGAAGCATGCTCACATC